CACCCACCCCCGGGCGGCCTGGAGGGCAGCGGGCCCGGGCCCCGGGCACGAGGACTGCAATGGCAGGATGCCCCACATCGCCAAGGAGGTCTTCACGCAGATGGGTGACCGCCGGGACCACGGGGAGGATGAGGAGGAGGTGGACTATGTGAGTTGGCGGGGCTGAGGGGCCAGGGCCAGGAGACGGTCCACGGGACAGAGGGAGGAGAGGCCGAGGGGCAGGGCCAGGGGGCAGGGCTCAGGCGGGTGAGCGGGAGGTGGTTGGAGCTGCCCACAGCTGTGGTGGGCCCACCCCTGGGAGAGAAGCCCTGGGAGGGGTGTAGGTTCTGATCTTGCTGGGAGAGCAGAGGTCACCCGGGGACCCCAGCTTGCTGGATGGCTGGAGAGGGCAGAGACGGGCAGCTCTGGGCAGCGCTGACCAGTCCGCACCCCCTCCTCTCCTCGCCAGACTCTGTGTTTCCGGGTGCGCAAGATGATTGACGCGTACAAACCCGACTGGTGCGAGATCCGCGAGGACTGGTCTGTCTACCTCTTCTCCCCTGAGAACAGGTGGGCCGGGCCAGGCTTGGGGGGAGGTTGGATAGGGGGTGAGCAGGTCTGGGAGGGAGAGATGTAGAGGCGGAGGCTGGACCAGGTGGAGGGAGCAGCCCAAGGGAGGGTCTGGGGCAGAAACTCGGGGTATCAGGCCAGGTGTGTCCGCGTGGCGGAGGGCAGGACGCAGGGGTTCGGGCGAGTGTTTGGAAGGCCTCGCGTGCCAGGGCAAGGAGGGTGCCCTTCATGCTGAGGCTGTGGGAGTTGCCGTGGGTGTGTGGTCGGGAGGCCGCTCCAGGTGGGCACCCTGAGCGGATGTAAATGGCTGTGGCCAGAGAAAAGAAGGGTCCGCTTCCTCTGGGCATCCCTAGGCCTAAACCCTTTGCCTTCCTCCCGCCGGGCTGTGGCACCAGGGTGGACAGATGCTCAAGTAGCCGGGCACTCCCATGGGAGGGGGCATTCTGGCTTCCTGCGGGAGGAGGCCTTGTGGCATCTGTAGGTGGAGCAGGGCTGTGTAGAGGCGGAGGCTGGACCAGGTGGAGGGAGCAGCCCGAGGGAGGGTCTGGGGCAGAAGCTCGGGGTATCAGGCCGGGTGTGTCCTCGTGGCGGAGGGCAGGGCGCAGGGGTTTGGGCGAGTGTTTGGAAGAACTCGCGTGCCAGGGCAAGGAGGGTGCCCTTCATGCTGCGGCTGTGGGAGTTGCCGTGGGTGTGTGGTCGGGAGGCGGCTCCAGGTGGGCACCCTGAGCGGATGTAAATGGCTGTGGCCGGAGAAAAGAAGGGTCCGCTTCCTCTGGGCCATCCCCAGGCCTAAGCCCTTTGCTTTCCTCCCGCCGGGCTAAGGGGCAAACCGAGACTCATGGCCCCTGCCCACTCTGCTCAGGTTCCGGGTCCTGTGCCAGACCATCATTGCCCACAAGCTCTTCGACTACGTCGTCCTGGCCTTCATCTTCCTCAACTGCATCACCATCGCCCTGGAGCGGCCCCAGATTGAGGCCGGCAGCACCGTGAGTGGCTGGGGCCTTCGGGCAGGGCCGGGGCCAGGCAGGGCCGGGCCATGGGGACTGCTGTGGGGTAGGGTGCAGGGCCGGGGGCTAGGAGCTCAGAAGGTGGATGTCGATGCTGCGGAGGAAGGTGTGGCAGGGAGCTTGTCTCTGGGGAGGGGCACCTCCTTGGACTGTGAAGTGGCCTCCCCTGGAGGCCCCTTGGCCAGAGGCAGAGGGGACCCGCAGTTCTGGGAGCCCCAGGCCCATGGTGTCTCCTGCTCTTTCAGGAACGCATATTCCTCACCGTCTCCAACTACATCTTCACCGCCATCTTCGTGGGCGAGATGACACTGAAGGTAGCCCCGTCTTCACCTGGGACCTCTCCCACCCCCAGTGGCCCGCCCTCCCGCAGCTGTCACTCACCTGCTGGTCAGCAGCATTCCACAGGGGCCCCCGAGAACCACCCCTGCTTGGTACCAGCACTGGGCTAGTGTGACGGGGTGGGGTGGGGGGTCAGCCACATCCTGCTCTGCAGGACATCACAACCAGCCAGAAAGGCTAATGCAGGGAAATGTTCACAGTGCAATGGGGGTACCTGCTGGAGGCGTGGGCCACTTCCTGGAGCACGTGGCTTGGAACTGGGTTTGCAGATGTGAGGGGAGAGTAGACCAGAACAGGCTGTGGGGCTGCTTCATGCGCCCAGACCTTCCAGGTCCTGCCTGCCACCCACCTTCTGAGTGGGCCATGGGGCATGTGACCCCTGCAGTGCCAGCCCACCTGCCTGACTCCCCCTCACCCCACCTCTGTGGCTGAGTCAGACGACCTGGCCCGTCACCCCGCCCCCAGGTGGTCTCGCTGGGCCTGTACTTCGGGGAGCAGGCGTACCTGCGCAGCAGCTGGAACGTGCTGGACGGCTTTCTGGTCTTCGTGTCCATCATCGACATCGTGGTTTCCCTGGCCTCGGCCGGTGGAGCCAAGATCTTGGGGGTCCTCCGGGTCCTGCGGCTCTTGCGCACCCTACGACCCTTGCGGTGAGGAGTCCTCCGTGTTGGGGGGCGGGCCTGGGGTCTACGTGGGCCACTCGCTCCTGCCCTCCTCACCCACCCAGTCCTCTGCTAGCACGTGCCCAGCACTAGCTGAGCAGGGCCAGGCTCCAGGCTGAGGGTGTGTGTGTGTGCGCGCGCGTGTGTATGTGAGTGTGTATGAGTGTGTGTGTGTGAGTGTGTATGTGTGTGTGTGCGTGTGTATGTGAGTGTGTGTGTGTGAGTGTGTATGAGTGTGTGTGTATGTGTGTATGAGTGTGTGTGGGGTGTGAGTGTGTATGAGTGTGTGTGTGTGTGCGTGTGTATGTGAGTGTGTGTGCGTGTGTATGTGTGTATGAGTGTGTGTGCGCGCGCGTGTGCACACACTCTCACACTGGGAGACGGGGATGGAGGTGGCCCCGCGCAGAGCCCTGCTGCGCCTACAGGTCTGGAGCCTGGGGCCACCGCCCTGGTGCCTCTGGGAGGACTGGGCTGCGTCCTGCCTGGCTGAGGCCCAACAGTGCCCTTGGTCCCTCCCTGCCTGCAGGGTCATCAGCCGGGCCCCGGGCCTGAAGCTGGTGGTAGAGACTCTCATCTCCTCCCTTAAGCCCATCGGCAACATTGTCCTCATCTGCTGTGCCTTCTTCATCATCTTCGGCATCTTGGGGGTACAGGTGAGGGGTGCCCGGCTGGCAGGAGTGGGGTCGGCTCTAAGGTGGGAATAGAGGCTCCTCACTCCCACTCAGCTCCTCCGACCCTGGGGGCTCAGGTGGCCCTGGTGGAACAGGCACGTCCCTGTCAGCAGCGAGTCCCCAGTCCAGGAGGGAGACAGACATGACCAGAATGGTTGTGTGCAAGGCAGGCTGGGTAAATTGGATCACAGGGGTCCAAGCTAAACAGAACAGGGGGCTGGGCTGGGGACAATGGGGGAAGCACCCTGCAGGGGGTGCCCTTTGCACTGGGCCTTGAAGGAGAGGTGATTTGGACAGGTCAGGGCGGGCAGGTGGTTCAGGGGGGGGATGGGCACATGTGGAGGTGAGCCGGAGCTCTGACTGGCATAGAGAGATGAGCCGATGGTGGGCGGGGTCAGAGGGGGCAGGACTTGGGATGGCAGTTAAGGAGCTGGTGCTTGGCGTCACCGGGACTGGGGCCACGGAAGGTCTGACACAGGCAGGGCCTTGAGCTGGCTCGGATTTTGGTGTGGAGCCCAGCCCAGGAGTAAGATGGGCCTCAGGGCTGGGGTGGGTTGGGTCATAAAGTGTGAGACGGATATGGCCAGCGTGACCTGGGTCCTCTGGGGTCTGAGCGGCTACTGAGACCCTTCCTGTTTCTTGGGCGTCTGAGCTCCGAGGCCCCAAGGCTGTAGCTGGTGCGGAGCCCCAGGCACAGGTATCCTTTGGGGTTGCTGAGAGCCACAGTGGAGCCACTGGGCAGGAGGGGCTGGGAGTGGACAGTGGCTCTGCCCCTTCCAGGCAGTAGACATGGAGGAGGCTTGGGTCCCTGGTGAGAGAGAGGCTCTCTCTCTCTCTCTCTCTCTCTCCCCTCCCTCCCCTGGGGATATGCAAGCATCTCCTCCCATGGGGTCCCTGCCTGCATCTCCAGCATGGTTACTGGGGTCTGATCTTGGGTCTGTGCAAAGCCCAGGAATCAGACAAACCAGGGTGTGAACCTTGACTCTGCCACTTCCTAAACCTCAAGTGACTTTGAGAAAATTACCTCAAGTACAACTTCGACAACCTGGGCCAGGTGAGCTCCGCCCACCTACCCCTTCCTCACCTACCACCCCAGTGCGGGGGAGTGACAGTTCTTCAATGCCAGCAGCTTGGGATTATAGACCAGCCTCCAGGATTGCTGTGCCCTCCCAGGACTGACCCCGGGACTTCTCCTTCCCAAGCCTCCGTTTCCTCTTCTGTGAAATGGGTAGGAGTAGCACCACCTCAACAGGATTCGAGGATGAGAGATTCTGAGTGCGTGTCCCCAGGTGCCTGGCGCTTCATAGGCGCCTCAGCGGACACTGGTTCCTGGCTCCCACCCCCACCCATGGGACCCAGACAGGAGTTTGAAAGTCAGCCAGACGTGGGTGTGAATCCCGGCTCTGCCACTTACTGTAGGGGTGGCCTCTCTGAGCCTCAGTTTCCTTGTCTGTAAAATGGGGATGTTACAGCCCACCCGGCAGGCTGTGGAGAGATGAAAGTGCACCCAGCCCCGGGCCCAGGGTGTGTTTCCTCGCCCTTCTACTCTGCTCTCTCCACTCACAGGCAGGCCCCTGCCCACTTCCGGCCTCGCCGTTGTCTCCTCTCCTGGGGGCCTCCCAGGCCTGGCCATCTGGGAGGTGCCCAGCTGAGAGCCTCCAGCGGCTGCCTACAAAGACCCCCAAATGCTCCTATTTCTTGAAGGCCCACCCGGTGCTGGGTATGAGCAGACGGGGAGTGCCTTCCCCAGTCACACAGGGAAGGGGCAGGATCCAGGTCCAAGTGGCCCAGGGCCCATACCCCGCCCCTCAGCTGGGATCCTCCAGTGGGTTCCCACTGAAGTCTCACCCCACATGACCACAGATCCCACTCCCCATGCCCCCCGGGAGATGGGCCACGCGGCCACAGAGGGACAGTGAGTGGCCGGGGAAGGGGGTTAGGAACTGGGGTGCAGTCGCTCCCCCAACTCCTCCAGATTTCCCGGAAGCAGTGCCTTTTCAATTTATTATCAATTCAATGTTGGAAAAACAGATGTTTTAAAAAAGGTGTTCCACTAAGCTGAGGGAAAGCCAGTGGGGGCTTTCAATGAGCTTGCTCCTGACCCCTGACCCCAGCGCCAGGCCCTGGCCACAGCCTCCATGGGGCATCCAGCCCTTCCATTCTGAGCATGCTCAATGCCAGGCCGATGCCCCAGGCCCTGAGCGTGTGCTCTCAGCACGCAGAGCCAAAGCGGGTGAGCGGGGGGCCCAGAGCCTTGACCCCTTTCCAGGCTCGTTCCCAGCGGTGTGCCCCCAGGCAAGCCCCCGTGACGCTCTGTGCTCTGTGTCCTCCCCTGGAATGGGGACAGTGATCGCAGGTTTGTGATTCCGTCGCAGGCTCTCTGCACTTTAGGCCTCTGTGATCCAAGGGCTTCCAGGGACATTTGTCCCCTGGCCTGTGAGCTTCATGTGCCTCCCTGGCCAGGAAGGCTTCCTCTGTGAACCCTGCCCGCCCGCCCCTGTGCCGGAACCCTTTCCGGGCAGCCCTTGGCATCACGCCCAGCTGGAAGGGAAGAGAACGGGTCTGCAGCCTGTATAGACAGGAAGGAGGGGCCAGTGCGGCAGGAGACCCATCCCAGAACCTCATGTCCTGGCCCAGGGCCCTGGGCTACAACAAATGAATGTGTGGTGGAAGCACAGGGTGGAGCCGGGGTGGGAGGCGGGCTCAGGGAGAGGAGTGTCCAGAGTAGGTGTGCGGCTGCCGGGCCATCTCTGCTGGTCCGGACGCTTTGTGAGCCCATCACCTCTGTCCCCTCCCTCCCCGTGTCTCCCAGGCCCTGATGTCCCTCTTCGTCCTGGCCTCCAAGGATGGCTGGGTGAACATCATGTACAATGGACTGGATGCTGTCGCGGTGGACCAGCAGGTGGGCGTGGCTGGGCCGGGTCACAGGGCAGCAGGGAAGGGACGCGGTGGTTTGGGGGCCCAGTGGTCTGAAACTGTGTCAGCAAGACCCACGCCCCAGTGTCTCCCACTGTCAGTGAGGCCCACCCCCCACCATCCGGGCCTAAATCCTCCACCAGTAGAGCCATCCCTTGGGGAGTGAAAGTCATTGTTCCATTTTCAACAAAGCCCCTTGCTCTGTAGGGGCAGCCCTCCAAGCTGGTTCCGGCCTGGAGGGGTGCAGGGCCTTGTGGGTGGAGAGGGGCTGAGCCAGCTGACGGGGGACAGTAGGTGCAGGCCTGACGCAAGAGAGTGACACATTCAGGGAATCGTGAGAAGAGGTTCCCGAATGGAAAGTGGGGGGAGAATGGCAGGAGGTGTGGAGGAGGCAAGCAGGACAGGGTGGTCCCGGCATGGCAAGGGCTGGCTTTTAGCTGAGGGCAGTGGGAGCCAGTGAAGGTGTTAGAGCAAGGGAGTGACAGCATCGGGCTTGCTTGTGGGAGCTTCTTGTGGGCTGCTGGGCGGGGATGGATTTGAGAATGACGAGGGTGGAAGGGGTCAGGGAGGGGGTTGGGCCTGATCGGGAGCTTGAGCTCTTGCTCTCAAGATCCCCCGAGAGTAGGGGTCCCTTCTGGGGCGGAGTAGGGAATGAGAACACTTGGGGGCATCTTCCTGTACTTCTTTATCGTCCACCATCCCAAACACACACACACACACACACACACACACACACACACACACACACGGACTCCACAAGGGATATGTTTCCCCTCTGCTGGATGCCTTATTTCTGGAAGGATGAATAAGTGGGTGGATGGATGGTTAGATGGATGGATAGATGGATGGATGATGGGTAGACAGATGAATAAGTGGGTAGATGGCTAGATGGATGGATGAATAAATGAAGGGTGAGTGGATGGATGGATGGATGAATAGATGGGTAGATGGAGGGGTGGATGGATAGATGAATAAGTGGATGGATGGGTGGATGAATAGATAGGTGGATGGATGGGTGGGTGAATAGATGAAGGGTGGGGGGTAGATGGGTGGATGAATGGATGGGTGGATGGTTGGGTGGGTGGGTGGATGAATAGATGAAAAAGTGGATGGAGGGATGGATGGATGGCTGGCTGGATGGATGGATGAATAGATGGGTGAATAGATGGGTGGATGGATGGGTGGGTGGATGGATGGATGGTGGGTGGACAGATGAATAAGTGGGTGGATGGTGCGTGGGTGAAAGGAAGGAGACGGCTGGATATGTGTCCAGGAGGCAGCAGCTGGAGCAGGGAAGGGGAGGGCTGTCTTTGCTGAGCACCTTACTTGTGCCAGGCCAGGGTGGGCACTTCCCCTGCATCCTCCTTCAAACCTCACGGCCCCCTAGGAGGCAGGCTCTGTTAGTATCTGAACTGCACTGCGGCTCAGCCTGGTAGGGCGCCCCTCCCCCACAGTGGGCCCTGCGGTGCCCGGTCAGCCTGCCTCAGCCCATCTGGCTCCCTGCAGCCCGTGCCCAACCACAACCCCTGGATGCTGCTCTACTTCATCTCCTTCCTGCTCATCGTGAGCTTCTTCGTGCTCAACATGTTCGTGGGCGTCGTGGTGGAGAACTTCCACAAGTGCCGGCAGCACCAGGAGGCCGAGGAGGCGCGGCGGCGCGAGGAGAAGCGGCTGCGGCGCCTGGAAAAGAAGCGCCGGAGTGAGTGGGTGACTTCTAAGGGTGGGGGGCACCCCGCCCTGGGCCTCCTCTGCCCACTGCCACTGATCCTCCCGGGGGCGGGGGCTGAGGCCTGAGTCCCACACCAGCCTCTGGGCCTTCGGAGCTGGAAGGGACGGAGGGTCCGGCCCTGTGCCCCTGGCCCAGTGTCTGCCTGTCCAGGCGACCTGAGCCCTATCCATGTCCACCTGGAGTCTGATGGTGACACCAATGCCGACCAGGTGTCTCCGTCCAGACAGAGGGCAGAGGCAGAGCCTGATGCCCGACCCTGAGCTGTGGGACCCCTGCTCTCCCCCCAGCAGACCAGAGCCCCTGCCATGGGCACTTTCGGGGTGGATGGAGAGAATCAGTGTCCTGCTCTCTCTGCCACCTACCCCCACATCTTACCCGTTTCCCTGTGGCCCCGGGGCTGGGTGGAGGGGACCTAAGTCTGACTCCCAGGGCCTGCTTCCTCTCTCCCCTCTGCCTCTCCCTCCACACGTTCTGTGCCCGCCTTGGCCACCCTCTGTGGCCTGTGCCACACCCCTGTGCACCCCTGGCAGAGGCCCAGCGGCTGCCCTACTATGCCACCTACTGTCCCACCCGGCTGCTCATCCACTCCATGTGCACCAGCCACTACCTGGACATCTTCATCACCTTCGTCATCTGCCTCAATGTGGTCACCATGTCCCTGGAACACTACAACCAGCCGATGGTGAGCCCCAGCCCTGCCCCCCGGGGCCGAGGTTTCATGGGGAGCAGGCCCTCAGCAGGACCCTTCCCCTGGGACAGGGTGGGCAGGATCTGAGTTGCCCATGCTGGGCGCTATGCCCAGGAAGCTCACGGCCTGGTAGGACAGGTGACTGAAGGAGAGGGGCCAGAGGGAAAGGTCTCTGATTTCTGGTGGGCGGGAAGGTGACATTTGGGCCCTACCTTGAATACAGGTAACAGTAGCCAGGGTGTGTTTCATATTACTTTCTGCAAGGCATGTACCGATTTTAACTCTCTCATCCTCATAGCAACCTTAAGGTGGGGGAGGGGACTTTCTCCAGATTTTGTAGATGAACAAACAGGCTCAGAGAGAGAAAATATGTTGCCCCAATTAGCCAGCCAGAGAGCAGTGAAGCCAGGACTTTGATTTGTATTCAAGTACTGCCAGGTGGCCCCCGCTGCTACCTGGGCATATGGAGCCTGGGGGAGGGGCATTTCAGGTAGCAGGACTGTTGGGGGCAAACACAGAGGTGGGAGAGGGTGACCAGTTCCTAGCTAGTTGCAGGCAGTGTCCATAAGGGGCATGTGAGGGGCTTGTAGGGGCAAGTGCATCCCAAAAGCTTCTTATCAGAGACTAGAGGCCCGGTGCACGAAATTTGTGTACGGGTAGGGTCCCTAGGCCTGCGATCAGGGCCGACTGGGGCCTTCCGGCTGCCGGCCGGGGCCTCCCTTACCTGGTTGCTGGCTGCCGGCCAGGGCTTTCCTTCATTCTGTGCCGCCCACTGGTGGTCAGTGCACGTCATGGCAAGCGAGTGATCAAACTCATGGTTGAACTCCCGAGGGGACGTTTTGCATATTAGCCTTTTATATATATAGATGGGGGAAGAAGAGGGGAGCAGAGCCTCCAGGTGAGGGGTTAGTATGTTATTTTAAATGATAGGAGAGGAATGTTATGCATGCAGGGGAAAGGAAGGCAACCATTGGCAGAAAGGAACTTCCAAGTTAACATGAAGAAATGGAATAATAATAGCTTACATTTACCAAGTATTTAAATATGTAACCCTGTCTGGCACAGGGCTATTGGCTCATTTAATTTTCACAGCAACTTTCTGAGGTAAGGGACTGTTGTCATCCCTTTTACAGATTGAAAAACTAACTCCCAGAGGTCAAGTGACTTGCCCAAAGTCATAGTGAACAAGGAGTAAGTGCTGAGCCAGGATTCAAATCTAGGCAGTCTGGCTCTTAAACTTGACCCTTAACTATTAACCAACACTGTTTCCAAAGAGGGGTACCTGGACCAAACCAGCAGAAATAAGGAAAAGGAAATAGCAGTGAGAGAAATAGTGCACATTATGTAAGATGGAAGGAATAAAAGTAGACACATAAGTCATTGCACTAAAGGTGAATGGGTCAAATTCTCCTCTTAAAAGGCAGAGACTTTCTGACTAGAGGAAGATGGGGAAGGGGGCAGGTCCTGGGGCCTGGATCATGCTTTTCTTTGCCCTCCCGCCCCCCCCCCC